TATATATGTATATACTTTATATATACACAGATCTGAATGGGTGCAAAAGTAAGAGATTGTTTTTTCAAAGAGATGACGACACCAAAGAGCAGGACAGTGTAATTGAAAAGCATATTTAGTTCATACCAGAAGCTGCAGCTGAGGCTTTGTTACTGGCAGCAAAACGGTAAAATGGAGGATTATCGCAATGCTGGACTATTGGGTTCACTGGGTCGGTTTGCTGCAGCTCAAAAAGAAGCTCTTCCATTGTCTGAATAGTGTTATTGCGACATAGATATATTGCAACCTTTTTTATCTAGAGAAGAAAATAACAGTTATTAAACTCTGTTCAAAGTGAATTTTCAAAGAAATCCATACATGTTACATGGCAGTACTGAAAAGATCCAGAATGCAAATGTTACTCCTGGACAGACATCACAACCACACAACTGCACCCATCTTGTTCATACAGAAATAAAACTGCTCACTTTGATATCAAGATCATTTCCCCAGCAGAGTGAATCTATGATCTAATTACCCCAAAGTTTTTGTTCACCATCCACAAATGAGCTGTTTAGGTATATAACTATATAACATACACATATAAAAACTCCACCTGATTTTGTACCTATCATTTAAGGGTATCAGCATTAACTCCCAGGGATTTATAGTTTGAGTATGTGATTTCCATTGAAGATGAATCTTACTCTCTCGAATGGAGCAAACTTCTCAGTCAGAAACCTATATCCACCCAAAATTTCATGCCTATGTTTCCAGATATGGTTGATGTGAAAGAGGTAGCTGTAGCCACAAAGAATAAGCCAGGCTCTGAGTAGCTACTTATATCTGTAATCAAAGTAATAGCACACAGAAGAAAAGCAGAGCAATTATGTATACAGACTTCATGCATCCTTGAAAAATCTGAGAATACGATTTATAGAAATTCTGGGAATTTCTATAAATCTTTTAATAAGACCTCAAATCTTATCGTATGCCCCACAGCAATGAGGTCTGTTGAGCTAGTGAGATCAAATTAGACTGAATTCTTGAGGAAAAAAACCCTGATGGCTATTAAAAGCAGAGATTCTCTCTGACTCAAAAACATTTGATTCATAAACTGCTAGTGCTGGGAGACTATCTGGGGAAGCATCTCTCTGTGCTTTCCTTCTTATTTTTAAAGATGTCCCTAAATAGATGCTTATAGTGGAGCTACTACACTGAATTGCCTGTTGGCCTCGTCAAGTATTGCTGTTCTTATGCTCTTAAATACTTCCATTAAAACAACTTCCTGACTGCTGCTATTTCCCTCTTTTTTTCCTCTCCTTTTCTTTTGCTTAAAGTAGAGAAAACAGACATATTCAAAGTCTCTTTTACTCTACTGTGCTAAAAATTTCCCAGGGACTTTCCAGATACAAATCCATCTCCTTTTCAAGGCTCATTTCTAGTTGGGCTCACAGTGCTACAGCTTCTTTCACCCCAGAAGGGGTCACATTCCCTACA